TTTTTGTAAAACAGCTGTTGCTACTCTGTTGGTCCCGGGTGAAACAGTAAGAAAATAAACTTGCATTTGCATTTGCAAATCTGACTTTCTAAGTTTGGATGTGCTCCTCATGGCTCCCCAACTGCTTCATCTCGCCACCCATTTCTGGCAGATAACTCGCGGGGCCCCAGAATTCTAATGCTGGGAGAGGCCTTACTCTTGCAGACACTTCTGGTCCCCACGGCCGTCCTGTTAGGCTCAGAACATGAAAACTGGCCTGACATTTAGGAATCTGAGGTCTCGCTAAAGACACATCCTCCACACCGCAGACCCCGTCCTCCCTCAGGCCTCACACCGACCTGCGTCCTTGCTCGTGAGGTCGGCTGGTGTTTACTGTAAACGTTCAAAATGTTTGTGCGAACCAGAACTAGTCTGTATTTGTTTATTCATAAGAAGCAAAACTGAAATAGGTAAGGAGTAGGGAGGTGGCCTGAAGATCATTTTACGACTCACGGGACTAAAAGTGAGGTTTTAGGAATGGCTGGAAGCCCTGGCAGTGCTTTCTCATGAAAACGCATTTCCGCAGGGGGCTCACACTCCATGCTTCCACAGGGGGCAGTAATACTCTCTAGGGATTAGGGGGATTTGGGGGGGGGCAGTAAACCCACAACTAAAGGACATGGGGAGCATTGTGGGGGGGAAGGGCATGCCTCTAACCCTTGCTTGGGTGAGGCAAAGACATAACATGTAACGCTCATATATGTTTGTACCCTCATAATATCCTGAGATAAAAAAAAAAAAAAGAAACGTATTTCCTATTATGTTGCGACACTGGGACTGCCACTCATTAATTGGGAACACTGGCTGGCCCAAGGAAAAGATTTAATATAAGCTATTTTGAAGTAGAAATGGCAAAACAGTAATCCACTGCTCTCTCATTTACCCGTGAGGGTGACAATGAGCTACATACATACATACATAAAAGATGATGGCACCAGTGCTAATTAACTTCATTGTCTGTGTGGGACCCTAGCC